GTAGGACAAATCATGAAGGAAGCTTGATGTAGATAATTTTGTTAATGCAATTATGAGGAATATACTCCTGTACTTATTTGCTAATTGATATCTCAAATCCCAGAATGAGCCATCCTACCATATTGCAGCCTCATGGATTTAACCACATTTTATTTCTTGTTCTGTGACTTCTGACCGTCTTCTAGAAAGTCATGAAAGCCTTTTTTTTGTTCTGTATATGCTAATTGATTCACACAGTGTGTGTACATCCATATACTTAAAATAGTTTTCATCTCATTTAAAAAAAAAATATGTATTTATTTTTATTTCCTATCCTTCGTAGCACATTTTATTCCTTTAGAACACTGGATATTTAATGCAGTGATGGTCTTGCTGGAAGACAGTACATTAGCAAAGAGAGCTTTGCAGATGAGTTAATTATTTATGATAAAATAATAGTTCCTGTTACAAGTAGTTGAATGTAGATGTAGCTCCTGTGCTTGATCTGTATTTCATAGATCATCTTATTTTTCCTTTCCAATCACATTACTTGTCTGGTAATATTAAAGTGTGTTTTTCTGGATGGCAGATATCTTTTGCAACCTACTTTATTTTCCTGTTTTCAAGCTTTTGAGCTGACTGTTTACATATAGCAAAGATATAAGGCAGTGTTTTATCTTTTAATAAAATAAGACTTTTTTGAAGGTGATATTTGACTTGAGGGCTTTGAGTTGTGTGAAAGCAGGACTGCATCTGCTGGTGAATAGCATTTTCTGTTTTAAGAGCTCCACATAAATCCTTCTTCATAGTTACAGAAAAACATACGTTTACCACGTAATCAGTTTGTGTCCATCTTTCTGAAACTGATACATGTAATGTCTCTGAATTTTTGTAAATGCATATGTAGTGGCCATATAAAACATAAGCCCCTTTCAAAACTAAAGTTGCATGAAATCTGATAGAACAGGTTATATATCTCTTTATCAAGTATTGGACAAAAAGATCAATTTTCTTTTCTATTAAGAACCAATATATAATAAAAGATATTTTAAATACTTCCCCCTGTAATTAATGCTGTATCAGATTTTTAACATAGTTTTCCTAAGGTTATTGTCAATCTTGCATTTTGAAATTAAATGAAAAAGCTCCCTGTAAACATCAAGTTTTCATGATTCCTGAATAGATAGAAAAAATAAGAGATAATATGAAGTAACCTTAAATAAGTAGAGGTACATTAAAGATCTGTTTGGATCATTTTAAAAGTATTTTAAAAGTTCTTCCATTCCTTTATTTCTTTTTTTTTTGTGTGTGGTTTTTTTTTTTTTTTTTTTTTTTTTTTTTTTTTTTTTTTTTTTAATGCTAACTGAATTGGTTATCAGATTCTTGTTAATTTTCTGGGTGAAACATTAATTAAATATCTGTGAAAAATGAAGGAGGTGCAGAGCTGAACAGGTCAATTCTGTCAGAAGTTCCTTAGAGGGGGCTATTAAAACTCTTAATCCTAACATGCTCTTAAAGTCTTTAACATCATGCCTTGCATTCCCAAACAATCCTCTGCTTGCTTTCTGTAAAGTTAAGATTGGTGTGTGATGGGATGAAGTATATAGAGTGACTTCTTCAGATAGTTTGAGGCCATAAAAATTTTAAGGCTGGAGATAAAAATATGGTCTTCTTTAGTTACAGCGTAGTTTGACACTTACAAAGACATTCCAAAAAATTAGATACTTTTAACAGTCATGGGAGATACCTGCTTTTTTTTTTTTTTTATAATTTAGATGAGGTTGTGCTTCAGGCTTTGAAGGGCAGAATTTATATTCAGTGCTTATCTTTCACTGGGAAAAAGGTGTATTTGTTAAAAAGCAGTTATTAGCTCCCTTTTTTTCTCATTGCTGATTGTTTGGACTATATTGAAATTAAAGAGCATCCAGTTACCTGTTGTTTCTTTTGCTAGGTCTATATCTTCCCTGTTGCAATGAAATTAATACAGGAAATCGCAGATTATTTCAGTAAAAGTAAAGTGGCAATTATTAAATTGTTGCTAAAGTCAGATGAGTTAATTCAGTCACCGTTTCTGCCTTTCATCATGTTTGTCTTTTACATGTTTGTCTTTTTCTGTGAAACAGAATTTAAAAAAAAAAACCTGTGGCCTGAAGAAAACTCCAAACTGTCCATTATACTTTTAAACAAACAGTAATATTTCTTTCTTTAGTGTTAACTCCTATTTAGTTAATGCATTAGAGAACGTAGGTCCTATTGGTCATGCAGATTATTTGTTTACAATTACTTCAAACTTGCATCAGCACTTACTGTTATATTAACATGGTTATATTATTGTTAAACTTGTGCTTGGTTGCTAATCAAAAACTAGCTAGCAGTCCAGATGTTTAACATAAATAGCATGTCTTTGTTTTCCTTTCTAACCCAGCAAAGTTACTACACCTTGCCTGAACATTGGGGTATATGTTGTATATGTGGACACAAATTAAATGCATTTATGTCAGACAAATTCAGTGGGTTTAGTCTTTACCATTTGTATTTTCATTGCAAAGTGAATGTCACCACAGTGAAGTGATATGCATTAGCAAGACTAGGAAGGATATTTTCCACCTATTTTATTTTACTTTATATTTTCTCTGAAGTTCAAGTTGCCTTGGGTTTTCATATTTATACATCAATATTACACACTGAAACTAAAGTGATCTCTGCTAATGTGTTTCTGTTAGCAAGTTATTTTTTGCATCATCTATTGTTAATTCAGAACCTTCCTTTTGTTAACTCTCAATATTACCAGGAAAGAAAAATGTGCTTGCTATTAAGCTTTAGCACTTCCTTGAGTCAGGTGTGGACAACCTGTGTAACCTCTGCTGGGGCACATCATGTCTTTGTAGTCTGAAATTACCATTTTATGTTGTTTAATAAAGTTTACAATCTTTTATTGTGCTTATACAGTGGCCTCTGTTATGAATGATATCCAAGAAAAATCTGTAGAAGGTGTTTATAACAGTAATAATAAATAATACTTAACTCCGGTCAGGTGGACTTTACTGACTTTATCCCCTCACTATTCAAAGCCCCTCACAATTTGAGATTTTTCTCCTAGAAGCTTAAGGGAAAAAGAACTGCCACTAGCTCTGTCTCTTGACCTGGTGGTAGAAGACATCACTGGTGAGAGCAGACTAGCCAGAAGAAAGATGTGCCTAATGTGAACATAGGGAAATAGTAACCCTCAGAAGTGTTCAGAAATGTGTTAGAAGTGGCTGAACAGTTTCAGAAACGGTCTCAAATCCTTGTGGTTTCTAAGAAACATTATCTTATTGTGTACAATTTATATGCATGGAAATATCTATATTTAGGGAAGACATAAGAGTTGGTTATGTTTGTAATTGAAAAGTTTCATTTTCATTTGGAACTCTGCTTAGGTGATCTATATTTTTAAAGGCATTTTACAAGGCAGACCAAAGGCATTTGTAATGTGATGTCTCCTAGTTGCCTTGCATTCAAGAAAAATAACGGAGATAGAAGGAATTAATGTAATATCTGAGAGTTCTTTAGAAATACACATCTTTTTGCTTAAGCAAAGACTTTTTTGATACAGATTTGATTAAATACTAATGAATGTGAGCATCAATAAACAAGAAAAAGGTAACTTTTGCAGCAACATGAAACTACTGGAGAATATTATCAGATGAATAGCCTCTACAACGTAATATAAAGGACAGAGAAAAATAATACTCGTCAATAATGTTTAGGATCGTTTGAATAGAAGTAGACCAGACAGAATGATTTGGTAACAGCTGGACGTTGGACAAGATTTTAGTCGTATGGAAGCAGAAAAAGCAATTTGCTGTGGAACTGTCTAATGAACAACCAAGCAGAGTTAATGTTGTCTTTCTAGGGGGGAAAGAAGGGGAAGAGTTGAAGATGACACTGAGATTGAACTCAGCGGTTTAGTGACTGTGAGGGGACAAATAATAAAGCTGTTGGCAGAGGCAGTGAAGAGAGGTAAAAGGAAGAATTTGGATAAAGATAATAAACAATCATTTCAGCTCATGTTAATTGGTATATGCTCTGTTGACTTCATTCACAGCAGTTGAGGATATAGCCTGTTGAGTTCAGCTTTAATAATAAGTTTGAATTGGCAGGGAGATCTCAGGATAAAATCTCAGCAAAAATAGGCAGAGATGAAAGACTGAGGTTATAGATTCTGAATTCTTGCAAGTGAGCCTATATCTTGGTTCACTGAGTTGTGATGGCAGTTTAGGGAAGATGAGTTAACTATGCAAAAGTTGAACAGAAAAAAAAAAAAAAACAAAAACACCTGAGAGAGCCTGAAAGAGAACAGGAAAAGAGAGACGAAACCCATCGAAAAAGCCAAAGAAAGGTTAAAAAGAAGAAAGAGAAACTGGAGCTTTGAAAAGTAAAGTATTTGAAAGATTCCTAATTAACTATAAAAAGAAAGCATACAAATAAACCAAGAGGAAAATGAAAAATAAAAGTTTTTTTTCTTTTTCATTCAGTGTCCCAGGAAGCAGATAAACATATTAATTCTCTGAGGCAAAAGTAATATAGAAAGTATTGGAACATAACAAAAATTACTTCAAATAATTGTCATTTTCAGAAAGATGTTAGGAAATCTAAAGGTTGTATTTTCTCATTACTATATGTTTTTGACTTCATAGTTCAAATGTTAACATGTTTCAGTGTCTTTTATGCTTTGTTGTATTTACTTACAGAAAACAACACATGCTGAAAATTTGTTAATAAATTGACATTACATTTAAATTATTGAAATTAGGCAATGTGTAAAGAAATTGAAAAGACTCTCCGTTTAGGAGAACACTGAAAAAAATTATTTGTCTTTTGCTATGTAGTTTCCTTTCTTTGTATAAAAATATAGATTAGTAAGAAAATATATGTGATATAAATACATTTTTGTCATATGTTTTCCCAAATGTTGGAACATGGCATTATAGTCTTCAGATTGGTTTTAATGTCTAAATAAATTATTTAATTAAATTGAGCTTTTTTTTATTTAAAGCTGTCTTTTGGGGAGATATTGCCTTAGATGATGAAGACTTAAAAATCTTTCAAATTGACAGGACGATTGACCTTACGCAGCACTCCAATGAAAGACTTGGCCATAACACAGGTATGATATTTCAAGCTTGTTTTAACTTATTTTTCCTGTTATTTACTTCTGCATAGAAGGTGATTTCTTTTAAATGTAGACAGTCAGTAACTGGGTAATATTAGTTTACACGTTAAAAGTTATTAAACAATGAGTATGAATTTGTTTTAGGGAAAGAGAAAAGCAAAATTTTTAATTTTATTCTGGCATTTCTGATTAAAAATACCTTGTTGAACTGAAGAGCAGAAGCTGGTAGGAACCGTAAGTCCACTCTGCAGGTGGTCACGTGGGAAAGGAAATTGTATGAAGCTTTGCTTTCATTGCTAAAAGTTCCCAATGGCAGAGCCCAAATGCCCTATGGAGATCCTGGAGGTGAGACTAAGAATCTTGGATTACAACCCCTCTTTTTGCTATTGTGTCAGTTTCATCCAGATCTGTATCCAGATCTAGAAGCAACACAAGAGCATGTCATCCTTGATAGAATTTGCCTTGTCTAAAAAGCAACTATTTATCTGACATTTTAATACATGTTTATTTGCGGTTATTAACATACAGTGTATTAGTACCAGAAGCTGCAATCTGATTAACACAGGCAGTTGGATATTCAGACAGATAGATAAAGAGATATTATTTATGTGGAAATATATGTGTGTACGTGTGTGTGAGAGAGAGCAAACATAATCCATGACTTAAATGGATGTCTGTCTAACGTCTAAAAATATCTATGCATTCAGGCTCTGATTTGTAAGTTTATAACTGAGAATTTGTAAACTTCCAGGTTATGGTACCAAAAAAAATAAGTTACTTAGGAAAAGCATGGAAAAAATGCTATTAGAAAATGCATAAATGCATAATTGAAATTTATTTTCTGTTAAACATGTTCTATATGTTCCTGAACTGAGCTACTATTAATTCGATGATCCCTGATATGTGGAAATAAGGAACGCTATGAGAAATAACCAGAAAATAATTTTTCAGACCAAAGAAGCAATTTAACCTTTCAATACTGATGTATTTAAAATATTTTTACTCTTCCTAGTTAGATGCGATTAGACTATTTTTATAAAAACTTGAAAATTAATTTAAAGCCACTTGGTTTTTCAAGGCAGCAACACCTTCGATCATTTCTAGATCAAGACTGGATTTTAAAACATTAATAGAGTCAGCGGTTTCCCTGCCCCTCTTCCCCGATTAAAACAAATAGTTTTAATTGGCTTTGAAGGTATTTCAGGCTCTAGTTTTGCTGATGAAATGTAGAGAGCAAGGTTGGTCATTCCCCCTTAAGGAGGATGCAGTCAAGTGATTTCTTTGGCTGATGACTTTCCTTTTTTTTCTTGATTTTCTAATTTTATTTTTTAGCTTCGCATTTATCTTTTCGTCAATTGCCACAGAAAGAGTATACATTTTAAAGCTGGTTTTAAATAGTATTTAATATTCTATTATTTAAATTTATTTCCTTACCTGTCTTGAGATTTGTGCATTATCTTTTCCTCTGGACAGTATCCTGTTCAGGATATTTAATCATTGTGTTGGGATTGCTAACACATTTGGATCGTATTTTTTTACCTTTATTGCACAAGAGAAGTCAATGCAACTGCAGTGGTCACTGGGACTGGACTTTAGAGAACAAATTCTGCTGAAGTTAATGATTTTGTGATGGCTCTCAGTGAACGCTCAACATTCTTGATTTTTAGAAAAACAGAGTTGGAGAACTCAGGTTTACACTTTACATACATTTTTTTTTTTTAATTTACAACATTTTGATTCATAAACTAGTAGTTTAGCCTGTTTTTGCAAACTGCACAGTCTGGTCTGGTTTTTTCACTTTAATTTCCAAAAGAGTAGCTTGCCAATAAGTTGTTGTTTGGTAGCAACTAGAAAAGGAATGTAAAATGTCTGTAAAGTAGAAAAAAATAATTTACCGTAGTTACAGACACAATGACAGTTACAAGCTTGATTTCTGAGCATTTTCTATTGCTGACCTTCACAAACCAAAGGTGACATCAGGTAAGATACTTGGGTGTAAACCATCAAGATTGGATGGGCACACACTTTGCTGGGAAAAAACTGTCTGGATGGCCGGGCCCAAAGAGTTGTGGTGAATGGAGTTAAATCCAGTTGGCGGCCGGTCACGAGTGGTGTCCCCCAGGGCTGGGTTTTGGGGCCACTCCTGTTTAACATCTTTATTGATGATCTAGACGAGGGGATCGAGTGCACCCTCAGTCAGTTTGCAGATGACCCCAAGTTGGGTGGGAGTGTTGATCTGCTCGAGGGTAGGGAGGCTCTGCAGAGAGACCTGGACAGGCTGGAGCCATGGGCTGAGGCCAACTGGAGGAGTTTCAATCAGGCCAAATGCCGGGGGCTGCCCTTGGGCCACAACAACCCCCAGCAGCGCTACAGGCTTGGGGAGGAGTGGCTGGAGAGCTGCCAGTCAGAGAGGGACCTGGGGTATTGATTGACAGCCAGCTGAACAGGAGCCAGAAGTGTGCCCAGGTGGCCAAGAAGGCCAATGGCATCCTGGCTTGTGTCAGCAATAGCGTGGCCAGCAGGGACAGGGAAGGGATCTGACCCCTGTACTGGGCACTGGTGAGGCCGCCCCTCGATTCCTGTGTTCAGTTTTGGGCCCCTCACTCCAAAAAGGACATTGAATGACTCGAGCGTGTCCAGAGAAGGGCAACGAAGCTGGTGCAGGGTCTGGAGCACAGGTCGTACGGGGAGCGGCTGAGGGAACTGGGGGTGTTTAGTCTGGAGAAGAGGAGGCTGAGGGGAGATCTCATCACCCTCTACAGCTCCCTGAAAGGAGGTTGCAGAGAGCTGGGGATGAGTCTCTTTAACCAAGTAAAAAGCGATAGGACAAGAGGGAATGGCCTCAAGTGGCAACAGGGAAGCTTTAGACTGGATATTAGGAAGCATTTCTTTACAGAAGGGGTTGTTAGGCGTTGGAATGGGCTGCCCAGGTCAGTGGTGGAGTCCCCATCCCTGGAGGTGTTTCAGAGTAGAGTCAACATAGCACTGAGGGATCTGGTGTAGTTGGGAACTGTCAGTGTTAGGTTAATGGTTGGACTGGATGATCTTCAAGGTCTTTTCCAGCCTAGATGATTCTGAGATTCTGTGAAGATGGAGTTGTGGAGTGGCATTTCAGCTACTAATTAAAAATTCTGAGGCTCACAGGCTCTGATTCACATGGTGTGACTACTCTTTTTGGTGAGGATTATCTGCCTGGATTTGCAGGGTCAGATAATCTGTGAGCTTCTCAGAGTGTGTCTCTGTCATTTTATTTGTCATTTTGTTCAAGCAATACACATAATCATTCTAAGTAGAAACAACAGTAAAGCTGATTAAATTGTTATATATGTATTATTTATGAGTCCAGACTGCCAAATGTATCCTCCTTCTCCTGCCCCAAGTATAAGATGATGCAGCAAATATGATTTTTGGGATTTTTTTTTTTAGTTTTTTAGACTATGGCTTGCAAGTCTCTATATTATTCATATAAAACAAATTAGTTATATAAGATAATTTTTCTTCAGTTTTTCACTTTTTTTTTTTTTTTTTTTTTTTTTTTTCCCTAGAAATAATTATAGTATAATAGGTTCTTTAAATAATGGGTTCTTTTTCCTGTTATGTCTGTGATGATGCTTTTAAGGAGTTTTTCAATATTTGTTTGGAAACTTTAGCTGCATGACTTTTTTATAACATGAATGTTAACATGAGAGACAATGACATTAATTATGATCAATACAAGGAATGGAATTGTTATATTCTTTGTAGCATACATTACAGTTACCATGTAACTTGTTGGAAAGGAATGTGTTGAACTATTACCTCATCTATCTAAAATGTTTTTAAAAATTTCGAAAATTTTTCTCAAGGGAGCCAGCAACTATGTGACAGTGTAATCCAAATAATTAGGTACATTGTTATTCACTGAGCAGCCACACAAGCTCACTTGCCTTATATGGAATTTTCTCATCTTAATATGATTTAAAGTTGCTGTTTAGTAAATATATTTTCTACATATATATTAAAAGTTTTTATGGGAAGTTGGGAAAGGTGGTCTGAGTGATGGTTGGACGTTTCAATGGTCCTTTTATTTCTGTCTTTTTACTTCTGCTGTTGCAAAATTAGTTTGCAAAGTCTTTTGTACTATAACAGATATTGAATTTTAAAATGCAACCTACTATGAACTTCTGAACAATTCTGAATGATTTATTGACTAGTGCACTATTATCAGTGTTCTTTCTTCTGATTTAATTGGTGCTTGCAAAGGCATGTGCAGCCACAAAATAATTATACTTGAAGTGGGTATGTGGCAGGTGCATCAAATGGACACAGTAAGCTAGAAATGCATTGCCTTTCTCTATATGGCACAGTAAATGTTAAAAGCAACTACTTAATAGCTTAGTTTTTCTTGCCCATTGATTTCTGAAATGATACAGACATATATTTGCCTGCAAGGTCCTACTGCAATATATACTGGCATGTGATGTTTCAAAGCCTTTAGAGTGCATTGACATCTATTTTCATGATGACAAAGAAAACCAAATCTTTCATGGTAAAATCAACCATATTAAGTTTGTGTAAGTTTTTTGGGTTTGGGTGTTTTTTTGGTGGTGGGTTTGGTTTTTTTTTGTGATGAAACTTTGGGTGTTTGCTTTCCCTCTTTCCCCTCCCTTGAAATGAGAAGATTATGGCATGCATTCAGAAAATTTCTGTGAGAGTAAGGCTTTTAGCTGTCAATCAATATGGCTCTGAGGATGTCAAGGTCAACAGGGAAAAAAAAAGCTCCAAATAATAATTAGATGATGTAATTGTCATGACTTGTCTGAATAACAAAGACATGTTGGCTTACATTCTGGAATGCATATTAGAAAGTTTTTCAGCTAAAAGTGTGTTTTTATTTCACTGTCAAGAATACTTGAAGAATTTGTATGCGAGTCGTTGAAGAATGTTAAACTTCCTTTAAGATGCATTGCAGTTCTTATGGGGTATTTTCTAATCTCTCCAGGCTATATAGTTGCTGTAGGTGTAAGATTCCATGTTTTTAACTTCTGTAAAATTCCTTTTTCTTTCTGTTTTTTTTTTTTTTTCTTTTTAAAGGTGGCTTTGGAGAGCATGGAATGTCAAAAAAACGAGGTGCCCTCTATCAGCTTATAGACAGAATAAGAAGATTTGGCTCTGGTATTTTCACTGTTTAAATTAGCAAGTTGCCTGTTGTGATAATGTGTCATGAACATTAATGATGATAGTACTACTTTCTGTATTACCACTAGCATAAACAAACTAGAAAATAAATAATACAAGAATAGTAATGAAGAGATTAGTTCTTTGCTGCATTTTCTCAAAGGTCTATTTCCAGCATCAAATACGGAAGATAAAATATGTAGTTACATCAAATACGGAAGATAAAATATGTAGTTTTAAACCACATATTAAAAATTCCTTAGCTTTTTCAAATGGCTGTGTTCACAGTATTAGTTCAACTGATAGTAATTCAATGTGTTTTCAGTACACGTAGGCTATCCTGCATAGCTGCTAATTTTATGGGCTATTTTTCTGAATCCAATTGGGATATTCTGATGCCTGTTTGAAGTATTTATGGTGTATTTTACTGAACAAACACATTTTAATACTAACCGTACTCTTGCCAGTATGAACGTAGTTGGATTCAGCAGGCTATATAAGTGGAATCCCCATTAATACTAGTTGAGTTTACTCACATATTTGATGCAAGGAGACGTCACTTTAACATCATGAAACCATAAGCTCGAAAAGGAAAATATGTGAAACTCCATTGTAATCACACCACATTATGTCTACACGCATCACTGTGTATCTTGTAAGATTAGCCAGTGTGCAGTAACTGCTTTTGCAGATGTGCTCTGGTATTTAATCGTTATTCTTTATAAGAGAATTGCAAGTTTAATATTGTGTAAATGCTTGTTATCTTTTGCATACAATTCGGCATAAATTTCTTCTAGTTCAAAAGAAAGTTGATAAAATTAATTTTGTATGGTAAAACATCTATACTACCATATGATGTGGTTCGGTAATGACTGTATATTAAATGTAACAGTAGTTTTTCTCTGAACTTTCTGAGTTGTAGACTGTTGTGTAATTTTCATTTACACATTTAATAACAAAGATGAGTTATTTGCTTTACCTGAGTGTTTTTTTAAACCCTGTCATTTTATATATCATTCCTGATATCATCTAAATTATGTCTTAGTTGTTACAAAGGCAGGCTTTTCTTCCTCTATATCAATAGCTTTCTCCCTGCCTTGTGCTGTGGCTTCTTCCCTTTCTTCTTTCTGCCACTCTCTCAGCCCTGGGATGCCAAGATGGCACACCATGATCCTACCCTGGAATCCTCCCTGCTTTTGACATAGCCATTACCACTTAGGTGGGACTGGTATCACAGGGGATATTCACAGAGCAAACGTGTATCCCTTAATAACGAGTAAGACTTCAGCCCCACTGAGTAGGATTTGTTGACCACCGTTCAAGTGATCTATTTTAATCATCTGTCCTGATGTGCATACTAACTTATAAATTGCTTTAGAAGAAGTACCTGTTATGGTGTGCAAGTCCTGTCTAATAACTAATCTTATTTTCTTCTGTGATCACAGTAAGTTTCAGATGATATGGGAAAGATTTGTCTGTAACGGAATGAATAGGGGTAATATCTCTGAAAATAGTAGACATTTTTTTATCTTGTAAAGAAATTTTAGCCATGAGTAATACTTACCTGTAGAGTTCCAAAAGCCCATTTATGAAAAATGTGTATTTGCATCGTGAAGTGTGGTAGGGCTACTATCAAAATGAAAGTCACATTTTCATCTGAAAATGTATCTACTGGTAATAGCTACATGTGATGGAGATCAGAGGGAGAAATGACCCTCTCTTTTTCCATGTGTATACAACTTTTCAAAAAATTTATTTATTTTTCCTTGTAATTTCTGACAATAAAAGCCAATCTAATACTTTAAGAACTTCTTTCTGTTCATTGCTTTAAGGATGGTCATGCATTTGCTTTTTCCAGATCTTGCAATAAAAATTAAAGGGATGATTTGATTACTTTAGGTCTGTCCAAAATCTTTCCTTCTTCTTAAAAAAAAAAAAAAAAACAAAACACCACAACACAGGTAGTGTGATATTTTTATTATTATTATTAAATGAAAAACATAGATTAAATTATACATTGTGCCTTCAATTTAATAAAGGTATGTGCAAACTGTTACTGCAGATGCTTGAAAAATGAAGATTTAGTCTTCGTTTCATTCATTTCTAAGAAAACTAGATTGTTGCATAACAGCAGTGTCCTACTTTTAAAGGGCAAAAAGAAATAATCTGATTTTGACCTCCTGGAAAATAAATGATCTCTTTTTTGTGTGTGTGTGTGTGTGTGTGTATGTGTGTGTGTGATCTCATTTGGCCTTTTAATTATCATTACAGGTTTGGAACAAAATAATACATCTAAAGGAAGATCTATTGTAAAATTCTCAGGGAAAAATGAGAAAAACCGATTTCCCAGAGCTGCTACATCACGAACAGAAAGAATATGGCCAGGGGGTGTCATTCCATATGTAATAGGTGGAAATTTCACTGGTAAGCTTTGTGCTTTGGATAGAGAGAAGGAATATGATTTTTTTTAATTGCATTCTTTTTTTTTTTTTAATGTCAAGTCATACTATGGAAGTCAATAGAGGGTTATGCATATTTATGTGGAGAAACCAGTCATTTCTTTCAAACTGAGAGTTGCAGTCAGACTTTTAGTTTGGATATTTACGTAGACTGTACCAAATGTATCAAACACTTTACCTTTTCTGTAATGAAAGATAAATTCTAAGCAATGTTTTCCAAGCTTTAAAGATAAAAGAAGAGGGCAAGATGAGATGAAATTACCTTTAATTTTTAAGATCTGACATTTGAACTTGCTATTTTTATGAACTTCGAGGTTTTGTTGTCTTTAAGGTTAAAAAAGGTGGGTGTTGTTTTTTTTTTGTTTGTTTTGTTTTGTTTTGTTTTTATTGAGGGGTGTGTGTGGTTTTTTTTTAGTTGTTCCATGCTGTAATCTTTACAAAAGCCTGCAAGGTGGATGCATTTCTGCTAGAAAATTAATGCCAAATAGTATCGTTCTTTGTGGATTTCCAGCTCAGAAACAATACAGCTATATTCTCAGATGCTGCCTCTAAGTTAATAAGCTTTGTCTTTTGTTAGACGATGAAATTGCATTGCTATATTATCTGAAGTAATTTATACTAGTTGGCATTGTGTTCTGTGGGGAGAGCTGACCCATCTGCTTCTGCATCTATAGTTTCGATTTGTTTCTAAATATGTTTCTCATTTTTAAAACAAATATCAAGCTATGCTTAGTATTGTACCAAATTAAGAATTTCCCCCTTTTGATGGATCATTTGATTTCTGATTATGATGCAAAGAAGTGGAGGCTGATTCTTGTTGAGGACAGCATTATTAAAATCAAATGCCTTGACTAGTATGCCTGTTTATATGGCTTAGTTTAAATTGGTTTTCAGATCCTGAAAGCTGTAGGATTTTCTTTTTTCCTTTTTATTTTTTTTTCCCTTTCTGTTTAGATAGCTAGGTTCCTCAATTTTCTTTTTTTCCCTGGTTTTTTTTTTTTTTTTCCCCTATGTGTGGTCCACTTGATAATTTCATCTGAGAAATTGCTTAACAAATGTTATGCTACTGCAGGCACATAAGCAGCACTATATTTCTTCTGCTGTCTTCTTCTGGTGTAACATAGCTGAGCCTTTTACTGCAGGTCTTATGTTTGCTAGAGTGTGTCAGGCAGTATTGGTCCCCTTACAGGCAGATAAGACGAGCTGATGGTCTGAGTATCCCTTTAATTGGAATCTGACAGTAAATGGGACTGCTGGGATGCAGGACTTCATGATCCAGTGACTCCTTCCAGGCCAATATTCCTAGTGCTGAAATCTGATTTTAAGGAAAAAGACATAGATAGAAAATTCTCTAATATCATACAATTATTCTTCCAGGCACCCAGCGCGCCATGTTCAAACAGGCTATGCGGCACTGGGAAAAGTACACGTGTGTTACATTTATTGAACGAAGTGATGAAGAAAGTTATATTGTATTTACATACAGACCATGTGGGTAAGTGTATTATGTATGGTAACAGATACCTGTGCTTTCATTGTTTGGCCATGGTTGGCAGCTTTGCAATTATAAGTGAATATATACTTCACAAGAAAATTAATGGATAGGTACTGCATTTAAATAATACATGTGTTCTGCTTGGCTTTAAGTTCATTCAAAGCTGTACATATAGTAACTTTTTAAAGTTATTCCTCTTTTGTCTATTTCTAGATAAAATTATCTTGCTATATCTACATAGATATGACACTTATATTTGGCTTTCTGTCATGCTTTTAATATTTATACGTATTATTCTAAAAATATTTTAAGCTTATTGCTTGTTTATTCTTAGCTTTCTCCATGTTACATGTTTATTGCTGAATTATGTATGGACATCTATCCCATATTAATTTTCCAGCTTAATTGTTGTTAATTGTAATTGTAATTTTTCTATTGTTAGACTGTCCTTGCCCAGATTTTTTTAACCACCAAATTCATGACCATTTTGCAAATTCCTTCTTCCAGACCACTGATATGTAAAAGTAAACAAAACAGATTTTATTACTCAGTGTAGGTTTGCATTGACCATCGTGTTCCATCTTCAGATATTTCTGCTTACAGATGCCTCAGTCAGCTATGTTTGTTATTTATTCCATTCAGAATTCTTAATTTTATATAGTGGTCAGTGAACTCCTGAGTATACTATGTTCATTTTCCAAGAAGAGTGTTCATTACCTGTGGAAATATTGCACTTCTGGTAGTCACCTTCTGTTTGGGTTGTAGACTCCACAGTGAACAGCTCTGTTTTTCTGACTTCCTGCTCAATGCACACTTTGCATGCCTCCTTTTGAATTTTTATGGGACAGTGCCGTGAAAGGAAGTTTTGGGACCTCCTTGTGATCCTGAATGTAATTAATTATAGCTCATAAAATTACATGTAGACTTATCTGTTTAAATTACCCTTGCCATTCTTCTTAAAGTGTAGGACAACGTAACAAAACCCACTCCTAGCCTATTTTAAGAAAGGCATCACCTATGCCAATTGCAAGTCACAGATCCTTGCAATTGGGGAGCTTATTCTACAGGAGCGCCTGTGAACTTGCCTGTCATGTTCTTGGGCTCTGTAGGTCTGCTGCGGAGCCCTGTTAGAAACAGTGCCAAACGGAATGAACTTTTGTTCTGACCCAGCACGGCTATTATTTTAGTTAACGATGCAACCCATAAGGTAGGATTCAGGGATACTGACATACAGCTGGAAGAAAAATCAGAAGCAGAGAATTATCATGATGGTTCCCTATATTCGGAGAGGTAACAAGCAATGTGACTTTAAACAGAAGATTATGAAAGATGTAAGTGGTCCCAGGTGCTTTAGATAGAGAAGTATGGGGATATCTACAGAGATCTTTGTTTTGTAAAAAGTAAGTTCTACAACTTCAAAGTGCCCAAAGTTGAATGACAGAAAATCTCTCCAGCCACAGCACTGTTCCTTAGACTGGTTGGTGCTTCATGAGATCAAGTCACTTTAGGTTGAAGACTGGATTATAAGCAATTCACACCAGTAGTTTGGAATATATTCAATATCTACCTTCAAAGTCACCATTATCCTTTACAGTTAATGTTTTATTGGTGGGTACTTTACAAATTACAAATAATTTACAAAGGCTGTAACAGGTTTAAAATAAAAACAAGGAAGAGTGTCTCTATGTCCACAAGTGATGAAGAAAACCCAGGCTAACCAGAAGGGACAGTTGAATGACTTTTTTTTTTGGGTCCTGAATCCATAAGCCATCTCAGGAAGAGCCAGATAAATAAGAACATATCTTCTCTAGGTGGATAGGAGCCACTGTGCACTAATCACCATCATACAGTGTTGATGCAGGATTTTCCGTGGAAAGATCCCAGACAAAAGTGACACCAAACCATCTGCAAACACTTTCTGCTACAAGGCCTGTCTCACTGAAATTAATATCAGTTCTTTCCCATAGCACCCTGCTGTGTTGGTTTGTTAGCACATTGTGTCATTATTGTTCGCAGTACCATGGCAGCTCACATCCACAGATGAGGAAGACTTTATAGTATTTAGCACTGTTCAAATTAAAAACTGAATGATAAACCCTGCCCTAAACATAATGCCTTTAATGAAACAGAAAGTGGATACAGTCCATTGTATGTGGAAATTCAGGTGGCAATATCTACAAATGTCTCAGATGACACATTAGCACACTAGCAAGTGAAGTGTTACTGAGCCTTTGTAAACATTAAGAATATTTTGAAGGAATGTAATGCATTACTTCTTGCAGCAGTTCATGGGAAACTCATCCCAGGAGGGCAGTGATGAGAAAACGTATTTGAAATATAGCAGGTGGTTATCAGAGATACATGACCTTCCTAAAGTTGAGAGTTTATATATCAGCAATGAACGAGAGATAAGTTTTGATTATCATAGACCCATAGGACTGCAAGGGATCTTAGAAAGCTGTCTAATGTATTCTTAAGATGGAAACAGCTATACCTAAGTCTTTGCTGATACATGCCTGTCTAACTTCTTTCCTACTACAAAAATGAATACTTCACAGCCTGCTAGAAAATGTACTTCTTCAGTATCCTTAATGTAAGAAGTGTAGGAAGTCAGGGGCAGTATTTTTGATCATAGCTAAACCAGATGATTCTTGCTGCAATTAAAGTACTTTAACTTTTTTTCCTGCTCACCATGGCCATAGAACATAAATTATCCCTCTTTCATTTTTGAAGGAAACTATTATATACTTTAAGGCTGTTATGTCCACTCTCAGTTCTATTTTCTTTTAGCCTAGAAAATGCCAATTAATGTAATCTGTTCTGGTAAATCATGTTTTCTAGGCCTTTGATCACACTGTTATTCTCTGATATTTTTTCAATTAGTATACATCTTTCTTGAAATTGAGGACCCAGAACTAGAGCATATTTGTCCAGAAGAATCATTACTTCTGCTGAGCCAGTGCTAGAGATAATTCATATATCTTGCAATCTCTCCTTCCACTTAGGTATCTAAGCATGATGCCTCCCTCTCTCAACAGCTGCCATGTTCAACTTGTGATCGGTTGGGATGTGACTCTGAATAAGAGCCAGAGCTCCACAGCACTGATAGCCCATCACTGGTTCCAGTGTGTGCCATGTTTTGCACATCTCAGAACACCAAATAATTCTGTATTTCCCTTTTCAGAACTCTTTAATCTGTTAAAGTCATTATCAATTCTAGATTTGTCTTCGTGGTATTTAGCAATCTTTCCTCAGACTGCAAGTTTAAAGAACATCTTCTCTATCTTCACATAATCGAACCAGCTTTATACCCGCCTTTATATCAAGGTTCTCTAGTTTGCTTATGGGTGGCTTGTGTGGAAAAATGTCAAAAACTTTACAGCTGGATCCCTCCTTCCCATCAGAATTATTTGTTATCACGTCTTGTTTATTCTACCTGATTTTGAGAACAGTTATTTATTGAAATATTGTTTCTTAGCACAGCTGAAGCACTTAGTAGTTTGAAATATTTTAATTACTGATAATCATTTGTATCCATTAGCTGCAGATGTGAGAATAAGAATATAGTATTAAGATACCAGTGTTTATGATTCTTTCACCAAAGCAGTGTACGTTGGCATTAATATCTATTAAAGCAAATATTTATGCAGCAGTTGATTAGGGCAAGTAAAAGTCTAATCTGTAAACAGGTTCAAAATACTCTTTATTCACTATGTGTTCTTTATCCTTGTGTTTCTTGCTATCAGATGGGAAGTGCATGAAGACACAGTCAGTATAATTTGTATGCAAAGCCAAAAAAAGGGTCAGCAAAGTGGGATGGCCTCTAGTTACATGCTCTTAATAAGTATTACTGAGTAAAATATCAAGTTTCTTATATAGTGAGACAAAAAAAGAACAATTAGTCATATTGTTCTGACATCTCAGCATGCCTTTGATCTGACTTTGTGGTAATTCTTGTTCTCCACTAGAAGACTTAAGTACTTTTTATGACAAACTTTAGATAACTTATTACGATCACTACTTGTATTCTTGCATGGGTATTTGACAAAGGTGTCTGAGATATAGGAAAAACAAATCTCTTTCCTGTGCTACCTCAAACATTGTAGACTGAACAGCTTCTGAATCTTTTAATGTTTTTTTGAACTTGCTAGTATCATTACAGGTAAGTTCTTAGAGTTGGTGAAACATGTATATTAATTGCCCAAGGTACACTTTTGCAGCATTCTTTAACTTTAAGAAGGATTAACCGTTATAAAGGGTGCTCAGTCACTTTTATGGAATGAGAAGAAATTCAGAGTTGTGCTAAATAATCCGTGGCATTAGGGCTGACTCATGCTCTGAGGTGGTAATTAACTCTGACAGCTGGCACTCTTCCTGCCCATAGCAGTTGACAGTTTCTCTGCTGGTTGTGGTCTGACCTACAAGGATGCATGTGATCAAGGTGCAGGTGACCAGTTTCCATAGTCTAAAACACTGTCAGTAACATAAAGTGAATGAGGGGTGATTTATGTTAGTACACTGCAATAGGCATCTGTTACCTGAGGAATGGACTCAATTCTCTGTTATTTATAATATTGGAGTAGTCATATCCATTGAGCAGGTGAAAAAGCAGTAGCCACTTCTGCCATCACAAGAGGTTCTCTTACGGTAGTGAATCAGAACATTCAGTAACAATGACCATATTGGTCCCTGACAATAAGCAAATTCAACAAGCCAGACCATAGCCAATTCTCCTTTGTACAGAATGAGTTATATTCATGATTGAAAAAGTGGGGTTTTTTTTCACCAAGAAAAAACCCTCTGCTTCTTGCAGTGAGATTTTGTTCAATAATTTAATGAACTTCTTTCTCTTGCTTTTTGTAACATGTAGGTGATGAAATGCAGTCCTAGTATGTTTATGAAGTTCTGCAGTTTTTCATTCACAACATCACACGTCAGTGCCATGGCAAGCTGATGTGGTCTATGAGGATTTTTATATTATCACATTCTGAAGAGTGCAG